CCCCACGCATGCATAAACGTCATTTTTTGAGTGAAAAGAAATTAATTAAAATATAAAATAAGTACTTTCTTGGCTGTCGGGTAAAGATTCACAGAGGAAGAACAAGAACTCTCACAACAGCACCAATAAGTGTTCTCAAGTGGAGATAGAAAATAAAGTCAATGGTGATTGTACATCAATTTCAGTTGATATTAAAAATAATTCGACATCAATTTCACTTGATATTAAAATAAAATCATGAAAACAATAAATCTGGGTGATTGCGCAACCACACCAGGTTGTCGACACACAAGTGCACGCCAGGTATACAACCAGAGTACTGTCATTCAGATCGAATGTTCCAGTACCAATGAATATGCCTCTCAAATATGACATTTTGAGCTCCTCTCCTTATTTCAAAAGATTCTTAAAAATTAATTTCAGTTATCCCTCAATCAAACCAGGCGTGTGGGACACGAGAGCACTCCAGGTATCCAATCAGGTCAACATGCCAGTTTTCAGAGGCCTTTTTATTTCAAAATGCAACATCGGATCCGGACGAGGGTGGTCTGGGTCGAGAGCCGGGGTGCTTTATTCCTTCTTTTAGGATGTTCTAAAAATGGGCGAAAAAAATCAACATGTTAGAATGCAGGTCATGTCAGAACGCAGGCCATCTTGTCACTTTTCAGAGGACATCAGATCCGAAAGAGGGTGGTCTGGTTGGATACCCTGACTGCTCTGGTGTCCTACGGGTCTGGTTTGATTAAGGGATAACTGAAATTCATTTTAAGAATCTTTTGAAATAAGGAGAGGAGCTCAAAATGTCATATTTGAGAGGCATTTTAATTGGTAATGGAACATTCGATCTGAATGCCAGTACTGTGGTTGTATACCTGGCGTGCCCTAGTGCAGGGGCCCCCAACCTTTTTTGCCCCACGGACCGGTTTATGTCAAACAATATTTTCAGGGACCGGCATTTAAGGTGTGGTGTTCATAGCTACATTTCAGCCTTAATTTGGTACTATAATTGCTTCAGAGTGGTATAAATTCCAGTTGTGTTCAGCTAATTTAAATGCATAATAACAAGTTGAACCCCTGTGGTGAAACACAGTAGCAACAGCTTCCCTGAGATTTGCTTCAGTTGATATCCGGGAAGCAATTATTAATGACAATTAGTAACCAGCAAAATGGTGAAATTATTTGTATTTGTTTTCTATCTTGGTGTTTTTGTGTTTGTTTTACAACTTATTGAATGTATTCAAGAAATGCAGTATATATAAAGAATATGAGACATTTGATATAAAAAGTAGAAAGAACAATTATATATATACAAACCGAAAGGTTTATAAATAGATAAGTACAGTACACATAAGGGTAAAAGTATTTGATGATATGTAGATTTTTTCTTCTTTGTATTGAAAAAAGATCAATTCATTTACTGTTACATAACAAGGGGTAGGACTAGATAAGTTATTTACTTCTTCCTACTCCTTTGAACATAAAACTGTGATGATGTCTTTATTTTTCTTTTCTTTTTATAGTTTTTACTTGCCTTCACTTTTGTCAATCTGTTTTTGTATTGTATGTTCTATATGTTCAATAAACAATAAAACAATAAAGTACTTATTTTATATTTTTATTAATTTCTTGTAACCCAAACAAATCACGTTTATGCATCAGTGGAGGCACTTTTATTTTGAAGGTGGCTAACGCCACTCGCAGGCGGCAG